ATATAATATAAGCTCTGGCGGACTTGGTTCTATGGTAGGTCTTAAAGGGTTAAACAGTATATTCAAACACAAGCACCTAATGATAGAGTTTGTGATGTTGTACATGGTAGAAGTCCTAAGTCAATTCAGCCTTATTTAAGCAACACTAAATAAAAGTTATATCAGAGCACCTTATATCATAAGGTCCAAATAATAACCCAACAATACCATTACCATCACTTGGTGACAGAGGAGGGGAAAAACTCATTTTTGACAGGAAGAGATGCAGGAAGGTCCTGTACGAGGAGAGACAGGGCAGAAAGAAAAACCACGAGATAAAAGCTTAATGATATACAATATTGGTGAGAGAGTACACAAGAGGCACTCATGCATTATGGGACGTTTAGGACCTTAATGAGCCCATAGCAGCAGAGGCTCCCTGATCCAGTCAAACCTTATTAAAAAGGAAATGTGAGATGCAACATGTTTTTATAGCTACTGTCAACATCAAAAACGTTTTCTCAGCCTTTGTTGTCAAGCTCTGCATGCTTATGGTGGCCCTGAGGGGTCAAAAACACTGCAGACTAAGAAAACTTACCTGATAGATTAGACCAGATTCTAACTCCTCAATAATCAGAATGAGCTGAAAATCAGGATTTCTGTGTGAAAAACAAAACAAGCTGAATTTCCTGTTGCTGCCTCTCCCAGTTTGATTACTACAATTCGATGATGATCAACACCGCGGATGAGGATGGGAACTATGTGGATCTGGGTGGAGAATTTCCCCTCGAGGAGAATGAACATTTTAATAAACTGTCTGTCAACACTCAGATGAGCAACATCCAGATTCCCACCAATGTGTACAACAAAGGTCAGAGGTGCTTCATGGCTCACTCCCTCAACATAGGCCATGGCTCTTTAAAAGAAAGCTCTAAATCAGCATGTTTTTCCTCTGTGTGCAGATCCTAACATCCTCAATGCCATCTACAACACAGAGGCTTTAAACGACATCTTCATCGGTAACTTCCAGAAGGATCCGACACTCACCTGGCAGTACTTTGGCAGCTCCACGGGTTTCTTCAGGATCTACCC